TTAGATTACAAAATATTTTTTTAAATTTAATGTTAAAAAAAATGCTGAATGGCTAGGGTCAGCACCATGATCCCATCAATCTCTATTGGTTGGAGGAATGGACACCGTTGATAGGAGTGTGAGTCTCTGATGGAGCAAAATAAATTTTCAGTCGTCAACTATATAAATAAGTAAAATTTAAGGACCAAACATGATTAAACATGAAACTCATCTTGTTGAATTCCATTGATTAGGGGAACAATCGGAAAGCGACCAGTAAAGCAGCAATGGTGCACAGCGCCTACGATTGCTTCGAGCTCCTGGGCGGTTGCCCTACCAAAATCGACGCCATCGAATCCTATGGTTCCAAGCTTCTCCTCGGATGTTCCGATGGTTCTCTGCGAATCTACGCTCCAGATTCCTCTGGCACCGAGCGATCCCCTCCATCCGATCAGCATGTGCTGCGAAAGGAGCAGTACGCGCTGGAGAGAACCGTGGTTGGATTCTCAAAGAAACCTATAATCTCGATGGAGGTTTTGGAATCGAGAGAGCTGCTCCTGTCGCTTTCGGAATCGATCGCATTTCATAGGCTGCCTCACTTGGAAACAATTGCTGTGATCACCAAAGCGAAAGGCGCTAATGTGTATTCGTGGGACGATCGGAGAGGGTTCCTCTGCTTTGCCAGGCAAAAGAGAGTCTGTATTTTCAGGCACGATGGTAATTTTCTCTGTTGCTCATTTCCTCTGCTTTGCTGGTCTATTTTGCTGGATATAGAATTGATAAGGGAACGTTTGATTTGGTTATGTAATTCTGCTGAAAATTTCGGAAGTAAGTGTAATTCTCTGCTGCCAACTTGTGGAACTGATATCTAATTGTTGTTTAGGAGGACGAGGATTTGTGGAGGTGAAAGATTTTGGGGTTCCAGACACAGTGAAGTCCATGTCATGGTGTGGTGAGAACATTTGTCTAGCTATCAGAAAAGAGTATGTGATATTAAATGCTACAAATGGTGCGTTGTCAGAGGTATTTCCTTCGGGGAAGATAGCGCCGCCTTTAGTTGTCTCGCTTCCCTCTGGGGAACTACTTCTTGGGAAGGTATTTATCTTTGGATCACTTGTTAATTTGTATTTCTATTGTTGGATAGACTTTGCATGATTAAATGTTATTTTGTAATAAGTGCTTGGATATTTATCAATGTAAGTATTTTGATAATCAAATTTATTTGGATGGAATCTAATGTATGGAAAAATTGCCAAAACATCCAAGTTTGAAGTTTGTGGTATCCTCCCGTCAAGGATTTGTTTTACATTTGATATCATTTGAAACTGCACTTAGAATATGTTATCCTCTCTAATTTGTTTTGCAATTCTGTGGAGTTAATTACATGTCATCATAGACTGTTTGCTTTGAAATAGCAAGTTGATGTTTTTCTTGAAATGGTTTACTGTTGAACCATACACCAGAAGTATGCTATATATTTTAGTTATCTGGAATTGAGGTGTGATCGGTAAGATGGAGTATCTGGGTCATGCAGTCTGCAAAGTTGTTCAGTCGCATATTTCTAACTTGCTTCACGTTTTGAGACTTCAATCTTAGTGGCCTATGCCTTTTTATACGTGTCACCTATCACTTAAAGACTGAGAGAACCCTTTTCTTTTTCAGAATATCCTCAACAATTTGCTTCAGAAGCCAATCTCAAGGTTAAAAATTTTAATTTGTGAGAAAGATAGGCTAAGGAAAGCAAGAAGGAAATGTGAGAGACTGCAAATTGATCATTATGTATACATGTTGACTTTGCATTCATTCATGTAGCTGTTCATTTGTAGTGCTCATTTGTATTTGATTCACGAGCAGATCTCTTCTGTTAATTGTGTATAAGGCTGAAAGCAGCAAGTATTGTTTTTCTTCATATCTTTACTTTTTGTATAATTCATAAATAACCTTCAGTATTAAGGGTGAAAGCAAATGGTTATTTTCAAAAGGTCTTGGATACTTAGATTTGATTCTTTGGTATGTCACTGTTGCCTGTAGGAGAACATTGGAGTCTTTGTGGACCAAAATGGAAAGCTTCTTCAAGCTGACAGGATATGTTGGTCAGAAGCTCCCACAGTTGTTTTAATCCAGAAGCCATATGCAATAGCTCTGTTACCAAGACGTGTTGAGGTAGTCTGACTAAATGCTAAGCAAGAATCTGTGCTTATTTTGAATTCCTACCAGTACTTTTGCATTTATGCATTTTCAGGTACTTGTTTGCAGATTCGATCTCTTCGAGTACCATATCCATTAATACAGACAGTTGTCCTTCAAAATATCCGTCGTCTTATAAAAAGCAACAATGCTGTTATTGTAGCATTAGACTATTCTATATATGGGCTCTTCCCTGTTCCTGTTGGTGCACAGGTAGGTGTTCCCTTTATGTTTGAGCGTTAATTACAATTTTATTTGAGTACAGTTTTTGAAACTTGGATGACCACTTTCATCTGAAATATATGAAACTAGTAAACCTGTTGCAACACTGGGAAGCCTTTACGCTTTTAGATAATTCTTGCTTTTTTAGTTTCCATTTGGTTTTCATTTTGTTTTAACCTTATCTTGTAACTTTGTTATGTTGTTGTCTACGACATATATTGGTCAACTCTAAAGAATGTCTTGATTATTGCATTAAGAAATTCGTTCTTGCATTACAGATTGTACAATTAACAGCATCAGGCAATTTTGAGGAAGCTTTGGCATTGTGTAAGTTGCTTCCACCAGAAGATTCAAGCCTTCGAGCTGCAAAGGAGGGGTCAATTCATATAAGGTAACATTTTCCCCATTAGCAGTCATTTCTTTGTGCACCCATATTAAGTGACAGTGCTATACCTTTTATATTTCAAAGCTTATTTTCGAATTTTCCTTCTAACAGTTAGAAACAGATTGCTTATTAGTTGTTACCTCATTTTTAAAATCCAATATCTTCTTATCATTGGTAAATTACAGAAATTACATTTTTCTGTAGTTGATTACACATGTCTTATTCCTGTTACAGATATGCTCATCATCTTTTTGATAATGGGAGCTATGAGGAAGCAATGGAACATTTTTTGGCTTCTCAAGTAGATATTACCTATGTGCTCTCTTTATATCCATCAATTATTCTTCCTAAAACAACTGTGATTCCAGAACCAGATGGGATAATGGATATGCCTTTGGATGCTCCACATCTATCAAGAGGTTCATCTGGTCTGTCAGATGATATAGAATCCTCACTTCCACCTCAGATATCAGAATCAGATGAGAATACTGCACTTGAGTTCAAGAAAATGAGCCATAATACTCTCATGGCTATTATTAAGTTCTTGCAGAAGAAGAGATACAGTATTGTTGAAAAAGCTGCTGCCGAGGGAACAGAAGAGGTTGTTTTAGATGCTGTTCGAGATAGCTTTACATCAACTAGGTCTAAGAAATCCAGCAAGGTGAACAGATCTCTGTTCTTAAGTATCTAATTTTGCTGGGGCAAAACTTAGTTATTATGCTCTGTTAGCTTATATACTGTAGTTCTGCTTTATTCAGAAAGACAATTAGTTTTTGATCAAAAACCAGTTTAAACTTTAAAGTATTGAATTTCAATAGCAATGTGTTGATAAAAGATTCTGGCAATTATTCTTGAGCAGCCTTCTTCATCACACTTTTAAAATTTACACCATCCAATTTCTAGTAATCTTCTAAATTTATACTCTTAGGGTCGTGCTGCTGTTCCTATTAACTCAGCTGCTAGGGAGATGGCAGCAATACTGGATACGGCCCTCCTTCAAGCTCTGCTTCTTACCGGACAATCTTCAGCAGCTTTAGATTTACTGAAAGGTCTTAACTATTGTGATGTAAAGATATGTGAGGAGATTCTTCAGAAAGGCAATCACTATGCTGCTTTACTAGAACTTTACAAAAGTAACTCAATGCACCGTGAAGCTTTAAAACTTTTGCATCAATTAGTAGAGGAGTCAAAATCAAACCATTTACAAGGAGAGCTCTCCCACACGTTCACTCCTGAGGCAATTATTGAATATCTCAAGGTAAGTTTTTTCATTTAACTAGATTCAATTTTGTACTTATTTCAATTTATGTATTTTAGTCTGATTATTAAAATTAACTGTGTTTATGGTGTGATCTTTGTTACATTGGCTCTTCATGTTATCCTAATATACCCTTTTCAGACACTTTACATCTGTTGAGCATTACGCTTGGGTACTTCAAAATAAAGGGAACATAAATGTTAAGTATCCTCAGACACATGCCAATTTGGTGCAAATGTGGAAATGTGGCTTCTGAATTTTCTTTCTTCTGGAAATGTGGAAGCAAACAATTCTTAATAGCTATTAAAAAATTTTCTTTAATTAATATTTTGGAACTTTTAGCTTTGTGTTATGTTTATTTAATCACTTTCTTTAAATTTCATAATTCCTCAGAAATGATAATGGTGTTTTACCTCTAAATAATAATGAAGAATATATTTGTTCTCAAGTTCACACCTTGTGGATGTGGACCACACTATTCTGCATCCAGTATAGCAATTGCTTTTCTTTTGGCAGAATGTTAATCCAGGGACTGAAGAATGCGTTAGAATAAAACTTGTATATACTGACTACCTTATTGGACGGTGGATTTTCATTTGCAGCCTCTCTGCGCAACTGATCCCATGCTTGTTCTAGAGTTCTCAATGCTTGTACTTGAAAGTTGTCCAACACAAACAATTGAGCTCTTTTTGGCTGGAAATATTCCAGCAGACTTGGTCAACTCTTATTTGAAGCAGCATGCTCCAAGCATGCAGGGAAAGTACTTGGAACTAATGCTTGCAATGAATGAAAATGGAATCTCCGGAAACTTGCAAAATGAAATGGTAAATGTTAATTTTGTAACTAAAGAAGTGCTGGTTGTTGTTTGGAGCTACTGCAGTTGTTAGCTCAGCTTATCTCCAAAGGTTGACTGACAATTGTTTTTTTACTCTTTGTATTTTAGGTACAAATCTATCTCTCTGAAATACTTGACTGGTATGCAGAACTAAATACTGATCAGAAATGGGATGAAAAAGATTATTCCCCAACAAGGAAGAAACTATTATCTGCTTTAGAGAGCATCTCAGGATACAATCCAGAGGCTTTATTGAAACGTCTTCCAACAGATGCCTTATTTGAAGAGCGTGCAATTTTGTTGGGAAAAATGAACCAGCATGAGCTTGCATTGTCACTGTATGTTCAAAAGGTAGATTTTCCTTACAGAACTTATAGGAGAGGCATTGGCCAGTAATTATGATTAATCTTCTAAATGAGGGTTTGACCCATCAAACATAACACATACATATTTGATTCTTAATTTACTTGGCCTTTGTAGCTGAATTTACCTGAACTGGCACTGGCCTATTGTGATCGTATATACGAGTCTGGGCTTCATCAACCATCCACAAAATCTTCTGTAAATATATATCTCACTCTTCTGCAAATCTATCTGAATCCTCGAAAGACAACTAGGAACCTTGAAACACGAATTACAAATCTGGTATCCTCTCAAAATACAAATATTCCAAGAGTTGCTTCAGGGACTACATTTAAAACAAGAGTAGGGCGTGCCGTTAAGAAAATTGCCTCCATTGAGGGTGCTGAGGATATGCGAGTCAGTCCCAGTAGCACTGATAGTGGAAGGAGTGATGTTGATTTGGAAGAATCTAATGAGGAAGGTGGTTCTACTATTATGCTTGATCAGGTTTTTGATCTGTTAAGTCATAGGTGGGATAGGATTAATGGAGCTCAGGCACTTAAACTCTTGCCAAGGGAAACTAAGCTACAGGTATTTCTGATATTATTGGATCACTTACATAACTGCTGACCCAGTTTGTTTGTTGTAAAAAATTTTCATTTTAATGCAGGCAGAATATTTTACAGTTTGCAGGTAGTGAAAAGACTTTTCTGTTCTTGCTTGTGATGTACCCTAAAAATACATTCATTGACATTTAATTTCATTTTTATTTGGTTTGTTGGCATTGGAACATCGATAGCTAGCTCCTTCATGAAATTATTTATCTTCTTCTTTTACCTGCAGAACTTGCTTCCATTTCTTGGACCCCTTCTTAAAAAATCTAGTGAAGCTTACCGAAACTTCTCAGTGATCAAGAGTTTGAGGGAGAGTGAGAACCTGCAGGTATGTTTAATTTTATGAAAGGTTATTGGGGAATGAAATGATTGAACATTTCTAGATTATACTGCATATCTTGAACACAAATTGACCACTATAAGCTTTTCCCATTAGCATATATAAGTGGTGTGTGTCCATGAAGATTTGGGCAAGACACCCCCCATGGTCGTCAACTCTTGATCATGGATAAGCTTTAGCCATATTTTATGCTTTTCCTTGATTTTTGTTGAATAGACTTGTGTCGTGATTTATTTTTCTTCCATCCCTTTGCTAGCAATTAGGTATCTTTTAGTTTATTTTGTGCATGTCAGAGAATTTATGATTTATCTTTCTTTGAATTAACCTTTTTGAAAATCATATGCGTAACAGGTTAAAGATGAACTCTACAACCAAAGGAAAACAGTGGTGAAGATTGCCAGTGATAGCATGTGTTCTCTTTGCAACAAGAAAATAGGGACAAGTGTATTTGCTGTCTACCCAAACGGGAAAACTCTAGTGCACTTTGTTTGCTTTAGAGATTCACAAAGCATGAAAGCTGTGTCTAAAGGTTCAGTGCCAAGGAAGCGATGATGTTTGGTATATTCTATTTTACTGCATTTCCCTTCTACAAATCAATCTCCACCATTCGACATTGCCACCTAGATGCCGAAAGGAAAGCTGCAGATGGAAGGATGGGTGTGTATTTATTTTATTTGATCGGTGTTCATCTTGTGCTGCTGTTTTGTAGATTTGTGTGAATTTGAGATCTGAGGTTCTTCAAGCATTGTTGTAAAATTGAATCTTCGATTTCATTTTACATTAACTACTAAAGGCGAGGACTTGTCAAATTCAGTTAAACAATTGAAAATATGAGCAAAAATGGATTGCATTTGCATTGAATATGGACTTCATAAAGAAATCAGATTCTGATTTCTCCCAACAAAGCGATACACAACAACTCCAAGCCTGCATCCCTCCCTTGGTTGATCCACATGTATTGTCTCAACATCAAACAGCTTCTTCGCCTTCTTGAAGAAGGCCGCATCCTTTTTCCACCTCCTCAAATGCGCCATAACGAACACAATCTTTTTCTCGCCCCCGCACAACAGGAAACGCAGGGTCTTGAGGAGAGGCTCGTAAAGGTGATCATGATACACAACATCAGATGCCAATACCAGATCGTACTCTCGCCCAACCATCGCCATGTCTTCAGCCTCTCCCCACCTCAGAGGTGCCGGGCGCACGGTCCCACCGTTCTTCGCCAACAAATCAGCGTTCGCGTCAACGTTGAATTGGAGATTGGGAATGACGTGAGGGAGGTCCGTGACCGTAACATTTGCTCCGAGTATCACCGCCGCTGCTATTCCGACGAGGCCAGTCCCTGAGCCTAGCTCGAGGATTTTGAGGGAGCGGTGATCATGACCGGGGGATAAAGCAGTGAGAGTAGAAGTCAGGGGGCTGCTGCTAGCGTGGCCGCGGTGGTGGTCGAGGAGGGTGAATAGAGTGGTGGCAGCCGGCCACAGCTGGAAGGAGAGACCTTCCGACGGAAGCTGCCTTATCACCACCGTCGAATCGATCGACCGGATGTAATGCTGCTGTACATCTTCCTTCGCTGCGCCCCCTCCTAAAGTATGAAGCTCCTTTTCTCCCTTATCTTCATTTAATAGCATTCTGACAGGATCTATTTCACTTTCACCTTCATCATCTTCCTGAGTCGCCATTTTTCCCCCTCGCGACGCCGCCAAGCCAAAGCTTTCAAATCTTCCTCGCCTTTATTCCACTTAGGGCTCTCCTGTGGGAGAATTAAATTAACGTATTAAATAATTTGTGTCAATTTCCTACTTTGCCCCACTTATATAAATGCGACCGAAAAAGGTGTATATATATATTTTTATAAAAATAATAATTA